AACCTACGGGGCTGAAACTCTGGGAACTTAATCTACATGCGTGTATGGGCCCCCATCTCCAAAATAGGCGCTCTCACCCGCGTAATACCCACATATGGGCCCGCCAAAGTTTTTTTCGGGTAAGTTGCTAATACGTTAACCTGATAAGCTAGAAGACCGGAATTTTAAGGGGATGTTCCTTGCTCACGTAGGTCTCAATGAGTTCACGCCTACTCCCCAGGTACGCGTTGCTCCTATGTACAGATCGGTGAAATTTTTTTGCGAGTAAATTGTTGACTCGGGAACCAGGAAAGCTAGAAAACTGAAATTTTAAAGGGATATTTTAGACAGCCCCGGTGGACTGTCTCAGTTATCTTAGTTAGAAACATTTACAGGAAAAATCGTGCCGTTGGAGATAAAAACCTGCAGGGAACTGTGCAAAAAAACGCATCTTCGCACCGGCATTCGGTGCGCTGGCCATTTATGTTATTTTTCCGGTGATTTGGTGTGCTCAGCATCTAGTACGCCATAGGTTTGAAGTTACTTTGACTATAGGATTAGTACTGAATTCAGAAAAAATGATTTCAGAGCCAAAGGCGACTCCTGCACCTGAGGAAGATCATCGATCGCAGCTGATGAAAACTGAGCCAGCTGTTTTGGAACAAGTTGTGCATTTGCTTCTGCCAATATTAGTCGAAATTGACGGCAGCTCAGTGAGCTTTTTTTCTCTCATCTGCTTGCTTTCTTGCCTTCTCGTCTTTATGAACCGTTGATACTTTTCATCTTGATCATGGTGTTCCTTTTCCGCAGCTACTTGGCATGCAATCTTTCCGTTGTAGCACCTTCTTTACCAGCTTTTAATTCCAGTACCCCTTTCTTTGCTACTGTTTTCCCGGGGCAGATATTTCTAGATGCGCTTCCTTCAGGCTGACTGTAGCATACAAATAGATGCTAGGAGCTTAGGAAGCGAAGCCATGGGGAGAACTAATTATGAATGAATATGAAAAGTGAAGTAAAAAGATTGAAATTAGGTGTCATGTATAGGAAGACATTTCATGATGCAGTCTGTGTTTCATCCCTTAGCTGTAAACATAGACCGAACAGTGCATGCGGA